AGAAGGATTTAATCGCCGTCAGGTCCGAAGTCCATACGCCGCCTCAGCTCTGCGGATGTCTCGGGGGTATGGCAAAGTTGAATCGTTTTTTTTTTTTAATTTCTGTCGGTGGGTTCGAACCCCATCGTATTCAGATTAGATTTTCTATTTCTTTTTTTAATTCATATTATCAACTTCGCAATATCTTTTTAGAAAGAGACTACCCTATTCCTTTTTACTCATATTTAAGTAAGCAATCTCGATCGGAAAATAATTGTATTTCCTGATATTTCCTGCCTCCTGGGAAAATGTTACTGACAAGAGCTTTTACCCCACTTGGTTTCCATTCTCGGGATTTTGTCTCGTTTTATTTGTAGCTATGTCCCTTTTGGGTTATTTTGGGCTGTTTCTTGGTTTTGTATTTCTGTTCAAATTTGTATTTGAATCATGTATTTCGATCGGTGTTCTGTATCATTTGTTATATACTTATTTCAATAAAGTTAGTCACCAAACAATGATGCGATCGCTGGGGATTATGGGAAACATTTCATATCCAACAAGTAAATGAATTGATACAAACTACAGCTTTTTTGAGGATGCTCACACGAGATGAAACTAACTGTTAAAAGATGTCAAGTCCATCAACAGTTATCAAGCGGTTGAAACGTAAAATATATCTAGTCATAATCCTTACTGGTCTTCAGGTGACTAATTACAATTCAGGAAGTTCTTATCATACAACCGCACCAAATTGCTTGTGCAGGCTGTGATTGTGGTGCGCATTGACTACTGTAATGGGCTCTTGTATGGAGCAYGAACAGTGCATCTCTCTAAATTACAGAGTCTTTGGTAGCGCGCATTCCAAGCTATACACCTAGATATTGTAATATACTGGCGCCAGTACTATACGCGTTGCATTAACTGCCTGCAAGGTTTAGGATTCAATATAAACGCCGGAACTAACTTTTCATGGCTTAGGGACTTCTCATCGCCCAGGAACTGTACCCGAGGTATTTGARCATTTGCCACACGCCCAAACATTATTGCAGCGGAAAAATACATTATCCAAACTTTATTTCTGACTTATTTACAAAGTTTACAATTATTGTTCAGTGTTCTGATAGCCTATTTACAAAGTTGTGATTCTCATTACTGTTTACCCACCTAGATTTATAGAGCGCGCTTATCATCGCGGTGCATAAGCAATCTTGCCACTAGTATACCCCAGAATAATATATTACACCCACTCTGTATATTCAACTATTTCAGTAAACTCTAAGATGACCATGCTAACGTTGATAGTCATAAGAGGAAAGTTCGGATGACTGTGGAAAACGCATTGGCTCATTGGCTGACGTACGCTACCGTGAGAATTTTGATTGGACGAGGAATCACCCTGCTCGCTGTGATTGGTTCAAAGTGTGTCATCGATTCTATGTCGTGACCGTGTCGCATTCAATGCTTTATTTTCATGTCCTTCTCTGTTATTAATAAATTATAGAATATTCTATTCTTGTAGCAAATTGAAAAATCAGCCAAGGCAGTCGTTTGATCGCTGTGCGTGCGACGGAGCACTTTATAGAATCTTGTGTACATTGAGCACAAATGAAGACCTAGCTCCTTGTTATTAAAAATATATTTTGAAAGTTGACTCCAGCTTGTTATTCGAACGCCGTTCTTCGTCTTGGAACGAACTGAAAACGAAACATTCACAACAAGCGACGTTAGAACATGTTCCTTTTCTAATGAATTTCATTGGAAGTCATTCAGTTCCAATCAAAGTCGAGACTGAACTTGATTCTTTTATTGATCAAGTCCAAACTCGACTTGAAACCATTGTTTTGGGTCACCCAAACGAATTGGGGAAAGTTCTATTGTGAATTGTGTAGTTGTGTAGAAGGAAGGCGCGTGAACGAGAGATTCGTGCAAGGTGGCGACCAAAGGCCACCCACGTAAACGCAAGTTTCAACTGAGGTCTATTTGACATGGCCTTTCTTCCCGTCCTTCACCAACATGGCATAAAAATGCTTTGTTCAAACAATAGGGACCGCATAAGCATTTTTACAAGTGGGCAGCAATAATAACTTTCTTAAAAGACTTTCGAAAAAAAAAAAAAAATCACTGACGAAGCTATTGCCAGACAGGTTTTACTATAAAAAGCGCTCGCACCAAAGGACAGTTTTAGCGCCGTCTTCTTAGCCAAAACTTGACAATCAAATTGGTTTGCGATATTTTGGTTGCACCCATTTTCATACATTAAGCAGTCCAAGACTGCTAGCCATAATTCGTCTGAGTTAGTTTATTTTAATTGGCGGAAGCCAATGGCAAAACCAAGACGTCATAGGCTGAGTTTGTCGGGTTATCATGAAAGTAGGTGTAACGTAAGAGGTATACAAGTCCACTGTACATACCCTTGCTTGAGGTCCCCTAGCTGTCATCCTACCAGCCTCTTCTCTCAACATTCTTTCGTAAGCTTCTTCTTCTCTCCTTTAAATAATATACAAAAATAAAATAATTTCAATGACGTAGTGAACTAGTACACCCAAGTTTGAAGTGCCAACATTAAGGTAGTCTTATAACATTGTCCCCCCTTCGTTTAAAGAAACTCGAATGAAGTCAGTGTTGTTGTTGATGATGTTGTTGTCGTTTCTGTTGGAAAAACATCTCTTTATTTGGGCGTAAAAAATATCATTGCCCATTTTAGACCACTTTTACCCTACACTATCATGATTTCTTTGTTCAACGGGTGCACATGAGAATACACATGAATATGGATACAACTCAAACAAAGAATCTTATTCTCAAGTGAATAACACGTGGTCTCAAATGGGAAAACTTTACGCCCAAGCTAAAGAGGTCTTGGAAATTCGACTTATTTCCATATAGTTTATGGACATTGATAATCTTGTATAACGACAAACCAAGTTCCCTTTTCTCCTAAAGTAGATTAATAACATTGAATCCCAAACCGTTACCTTTGACGATCTAGTTCTTCTTGCTCCCTCAGGTGCGCATCCATATCTTTTTGTTTTCTAGCCACCACCTTATAAAATCAAAAGAATTAACTTTGAGTTCCTACGGTGATTTGACAACCAATAGGTACTATTTCTCACTAACTTACTTGTGCTCTCATTTCTTCGTCCAATTCTCTTCGTCTCTTGTCCTCTTCTAGTCGTTCCCTTGCAGTCATTCTCTGAACTTCTTCTAATTCTCTAAGAAGCTCTTCTCTACTTTCTATCGATTCTTCTTGCTTTCGTCTCAGTACTTCCATCTTTCGGTCTATTTGTTCCTTCCTACCTTCCAAAACCTACATTGGCAAAGGATAATTATAGTTATTGAGATGAAAACCAAAGTGACAAAATGATGAAGGGTCCAGAAAGAGCAGACAGCGTAGGGACCGTTCATCATAGACCCCTTACACTGAGTCCCTAAAGGAATTCTTCTGGGGGACAAAACAATGGATTTTTTACATTAGAAAAGACGGCCTATTGTTCTGTCTCCCAGAACAATTTCTCTAGGAAATCAATAGACAAGGCAGTTAGTTACCTCAGCCATGAGTCGTTCCCTAGCCTGTCGTTCTCTTTCCCATTCTGCTTGTCTCTTGGACCACATGCGAGCAGCTTCATCTCTAAAACAACACCAATGAATAAAGTTAGTTGAAGAAGAATGAAAGAACTGGTCAAGAATTAAGTTGAGGAGAAGGAGATGGAGAATGAGAACGAGAAGGAAAAGGAGACAAAGGAGAAGGAAAAGGAGAACAAGAAGGAGAACGAGAAGGAAATGCAAAAGGAGGGTTGGGTGGAAAAGAAAGATGCTGAGGAAGAGAAGGAATAGAAGAAGGAGAGATGTAGGAAGAGAAGGAGTAGTTAAAGGATTACACATGGATAACTAAAATTGGGTGCTTTGAGCCTAAGAATACAGTACATCTAAATTGAGTGATAATAAAGATTTAACAAACAAACATACCTGTAAAGCATGTCGAGCTCTGCTTCCCTTTCTTGCTCTAGTTTAAGTTGCTGGGCAACGACCTGGTAAATAATCAAACAATAAAAATAGTCCTCCTTCACATTAAAACCACAGGGATACCAAATTAAATGTTAATAGTTGTTCATCTACTCTTCTTATACATGTAAAATAAAATCTAAGAAATTAGATCGCGCTATAGCGCTTTTATCATTAGCTGTTCATAGCGTTTTACAAATAATACCAGTGGAGGACTTCACAGGCTGCATATTAAGGTGCTAGTAGCAGCCATGCAGCTTACAATCATGAGTGGTTTGTTAGTATGTTAGTATTATACCTCCAGAGAGCAAAGTAGTTTAGCTGCAAAATATTTTATACTTGTTAAGTGATATGATTGTGATAGAAGTCTGTTGGTTTGACTTCTTGTTAAATCAAGTGAACCTACCTGTCTCATGTATTCTGCATCAGCTTTTGCCTTTTCTCTTCTTGACGTCATAATAGCCTTCTCTTTGTCTTCCTGGTTTTACAAAATCAAAACAAACATTTGTCAAAAGAAAGTGGGAAACATTTAGGTCATTGCTACTTTAAAATCTGAAGACTGTCCTTACCTCTTTGGAAAGACCTTCAAGGATCTTGAGATCAAGTTCCTGAAAAAAAAAACAGAGGCAAAAAAGTGAGATAAAGTACTGCACAGTAAATTATAGTAATGTTTATTATAAGTTAAATGCTCAAGAATATCTACAAACCAGCGCCTTCTGTATTTCTTGACTTTTTCTTTTCATTTGTGCTTTATGTTGTCTGATTAAGACACGACTGAAAATGAAAAGAATGAAGACAATTTTATGACATGAATCTCATCACGTTTTTCTTTATCCATAGACCTTCTTTGAGATAGCGAACATGGTGCATTGTGGTGTAGCTTGGGTACAAACATCATGTCTTATATGGTGTTGCTTGTGCCAAATCTAGACCACAATGCATCCTGTTTATCGAACTCAGAAAAGGCCTATTGCAATAAAACAATACAAAATGTTTGTAACATAGGTTGGTGAGTGGGAGGGGTGGAGGTGGTTGATAGAAGGAAGATTGGACTTTTTGAYCGTCAGATTAATAAATTCAATGTGAAAGAAAGTGAAACTGCTAACAGCTGTTGATTGGTTAAACCTAAATCATAGTTATTCTTGATTCAGCAAACCTGAGGAAGTCTGAACTACATGCAATAAAAAAATATATAATCTTACCCAAACTCTCTTTTTCTTCTTGCTTCTTCTAGCAATCTTCTTTCTTCTTCCTGAAAAACAAAAATGTTAAACTATGCTTATGGGAGTAATCAAAGTAGATATGATTATGAATTTGCTTGACTGGTCACAAAACAATGGTTTCAGATCGATGTTGGACTTGATGAATAAAAGAATCAAGTTCAATCTTGACTTCAAACCATTGTTTCGTGGTCAGTCAAGCGAATTCGGGATAGGTCTATTATCATCATCATTTGAGTGATATAACTTGGCCTTTGAATTTTAAGCAATAGATAGTAGTAGAATGTCAATGATGGGCCATTTGCAGGAAATAATCACATGACTGTTACTGGATGGCAAAAAAAATTGGATTTTCTTTATTTAAATAACTTTGGTTGGATTACTACATGTAATGTCATATCCAAAACCTTTTTCATATTCATAGATTTTCCCCTTATGAGATCCGTTCGATTTCAAGATACAAAGCAATTTTGCAAGTTTGTTTGCCATCCAACAGAGTCTTCTCCAAGAGACCTTTGGCTGAATTTATTTGTTAGTGCTTTGGCTGAATTAATTCCTACATGAATCTTTGTTGAAAATGGCCTATTCAATTGTCTCTTCTTGTCTTACATTTTCTCAATTTACAGGATGTTGGTGCAGCCAATGCCACAGAGCTAGCTAAATAAAATCACTCTTCTACAAATATGTGAAAATAAGTTAAAAATAAACTTCCCACTGTAGCATGTATGGCATTAAAATCATGAAACTGTAAACAAACTTACTGCTTCTTCAATCCTATTTTGTTCTTCAAGAAGAATCTCTTGTTCTCGTTTAAGCATCTGAGCCTACGAACAACACAAGAATCATTGTAAATCATGAAATCCTTCCAAATTACTTTTTTAATTAGAATATCCGAAAAATAATTGTAAAAATGTTAGCACAAAAAGCAAACTTTATCCTTTCCCAGTTTCATGCAATCTTTTCCCCCATCTTTTTTTCATTTTGTTTTCGTCTTTTCTCTTACCTCCTCCTCTCTCAACTTCAGTTCTTCCATTTGTGATTTTAGTTGACTAGCAACAGCTTTTTCATCTCTGTTGATAAAGAACAAAAAATATTGACTGTCTTTAGGTCCATGCAAAGAGAGTTAGCAGAATTCTAGGTTAGGATACAAATGTGTTAATTAAATGATACACAAATGTACAATTACTGGATGACCCATTACCTTAGTCTAGCTTCTTCTTTCTTCTTTTCCTTCTCTAATGCTAACAGCCGTTCACGTTCCATTACTGCGTCCATCCTAGAAAGAATGAATGAATGAATAATGAGTTATCTTCAAGTACTGAAAACTATTGCTCTTACACTAAAAAATGGAAAAACCTAGATCTTAATACTAAATAAATTCATTTAAGCAATGGTTAATTCTTTAAGCTTGCATAAGCTGGGTTGTGCAGGGCTGTGCAGGGCTGTGCAGGCCTGTAGCAAACCTGGATATTTTTTTGCGGGGGGGAGTATCCCACAAAAAGAAACATTTTCCCGATCCCAACTCTACAAAAAAGCAGAAGTTTTAGGACCCCCAAGCCTCCCCTTGCTATTGGCCTGCTCTGACCCCCAAAAGCTCACCTCCTACCGTACATGTACCTGAGCTTTGTTTAAGAAACAAATCTTATTTTACAGATAAAAACAAACCTTCTTTCTTCATCTCTGGCACTTTGTAAAATCTGAAACAATCATTTATTTTCAATTAACAAATTTTAACAACTTAATTGTACTGTTAATAAAAATAATTTTTTTACCTTTTTCCTATCATCCACTTGTTCACCCCATCCTTCTACAACATGCTCTTTCAGTTGTTCAGACTCAATCTTGATAAAAGAGACATCAAAATTAGTGGATTCAAAGAGATTTTTGTGATAATGACAAATGGTTACTAGCTAGTTTGGAGTAGTTGGTGAATAAGAAGCTTAAGCTTAAACACCCAGTTAATCATAATAATAATAATAATAATAATAACTTTATTAATGTCTCTAATCTTCTAGCCGGGCACAAGTGCCCTACTAATCGGGGAGACATTTAACTTATTTGCGATTGTTTAAAGATAATCTTTCAGATCTTCTCAAAATTTCCTCTCTTCTTTGTGTTGTACAGACTACTTGCACCAACAGGTCACATGACCCTAATTCTCTTAAAAGGAACAGCTGTGTTAAAATGAACAACAGAAATGAAAAGAGCACCTCAATATTAGTAGGGTGGCGGAGTTTTAGCTCATAACAAGCAAAAAATGAAAAATGACATTAAATATAAAATCAATTGCCATTCAGCATATTTTTCCATACAAATCCTTCTAAAATATTCCAATTTATATTTGATGCCATTTCTCCTGTAGTCAACATCATGAGCTGAAACTTCACTCCCCTGCTAATGTTGAGCTGCTCTTTTCATTTATATTTTATTTAAGTTTGTTTTCACACAACTGCTTGGTTTAAGGAAGGTAGGGTCACATACCTGTTAGTATATTAGAACTTACCTGTCTTAGTTCTGGTGCATTTTGTTTCCAATGTTCATAAAGTTTTTGTTCAGCAATCTTTCAATAAAAAAAAAAACTTCATTGTATAAAATATAGTTTATCTATGTGGATGGCATATAAAGAATAAGTGAGCATACTATTATGGAGAGAGAGATAAAAAAACACACTGTCTTATTGTTAACTTATTTAATGATTTACCTCTTTTCTCCTAGCCTCTTTTTCACTTTTTAGTTCATCCGCTCTTGAAGAAAAACATAATTAAATATTAGAATTTTTCATCATAATTACACATCTCAACTAAATCCAGGAGATAACCAAATACAACTTATATCTAGTGATTAAATTAAATCGTTATCATTACTCCCATAACCAGAGTCAATTAACTACCATGCATAAGAGACTGATTTACCAAACATGCAGTAACTTGATGTGAAAGAGTACAAAAATGGCAAAAACACACTGGCRAATGGATTTCAAAATGGCCATTGACATCATGATGCCACATTCAGGACGGCATTCATGTCCTGTTTAGAATGTCATGATGTAAACTGACATTTTGAAAGCCAATCGTCAATGCACACGATCCTCTTTTATGTGGAGTTGTGTTTGCTAAATCAGTCTAAAGACAACTTCTGGGTGACTGGGATTTTAGCATACACAATTGTATATTTGATGGACAGAAGCTAAACCATGAGAAAATGTGAAGAATATGGATTTCTTAAACATTTCTCTTGATCTCATGATAAGCACTTGATTGCTATCATTTTATATACTGTACCTTGCTTTCATCTCAAATATTTTTCCAGCTCCACCTAGCCGTAGGTCCCTCAGTTCTCTCTAAATATGAAAAAATTAAGTTACCTTTACATTCTCAGAAAAAAAAAATTTAGCCTACATCCGAGACAATACGTTTACTGCAATTTTCAATATTACACTGTACATGTAGTTGTGAGTTGCCAGTTGGAATTTGGTTTTTCACTGTCGCCAGTCATGAAAATAAAAACCAAAGCAAATAAAACACCAGATTTTAGCATGCTTCTATCAACTACCCGTGGGCAGTTTGCATAATATTGAAAACTTCTATAAGTAAAGCAAAACAAACCTCATGATCTTGCTTTTCCTTTAACAGCATCTCTGTTAGTCGCTTTCTTCTTTCAACCAGCTGTTCTTTTTTACTGTTGTCTTTATATAAATTATCAATTGCATTCATACTGTAGATGAACGACAAATTATTATTTAGCATTTTGAAAACAACTTTTTACAAGCTGCATCAAGTTTGTTAGGCTATTCACTCGGGGGGAAGGGGAAGGGGAATGTGGCACAAGATGAATTTTATACTCTCAATAGAAGTGCTCTTTCTCCATACACTAAACATTATCAGTGTGGTTATAGCCTGATTAAGTATTCTTGGGTGTATATGTATGTATCATTGCTCAGCCATGTTAGTTGACAATAACAAATAATTTCCATTCCAATTAGCTTCTCTTGCTTGATTAACTGACATGGAAGCTGCTTCGTTGTTATTTATATAAAGGATTTTGAGTCATGTGGTTACACTTCAAGAATACAAATAACACTATCCTTCTGTAAAATATAGATAAGCATAGTTATCATATGACCCGTACGGCCCTGCTCGCGCGCTCTAATAAAACCATTGGAAAAAGTCACATGATGGGGCCCGGACGGGTTGACGTAAGCGGGCCGGAAAAACTCGTCCGGCCCTGCTCGAATCCGCGTGCTTTCTTTCTTTTTCATTTGAATGTTGCATCTTTAAGTTATGAAGGTTTATACTTCCATTACATTGCTGACTGTGAGTATTTGAGTGTATTTGTTTTAATTTTTAATACTAACCACTAGCCATTATGAGACATCAGATTTACAATAAACATTGTGGAAACCTTTAGTATAATAATGATTCTTTTTGAAAACTGTTTGTATAAACCAGTCAAAATTTGTTTACTTAATGAAGCTTGGGGTGACTTCACAGTCCAGCAGTAACATATTGGAAATATAAACCTTCATAACTTAAAGACGCAACATTCAAATAAAGAAATATTTCGCCATTCAACTATTCACTATATGTAGAATCGATACTGAAAGTATTGTATCAGGCGTTACGTGCATTTTAATAACTTTACAGAATTTTGGTGTTCTTTAGATTAAGTTTACATGTGAACAATCAGTATTCTTGGTAAGTCAAATAAAAATCTGTTTAGTTGGAAACAACTCAAAAACCCTTGTTTGAATATAAAGTTATACTATCGAAGGGGGAATGAAAGGCTTTGAATTTGAACCACACAAGATCAAGCGACATGAATGATTCATGTCAGATCAATAACAACAACCTTCGTTGCTGTGTTACTACAAAACTACAATAAACTGTATCAGGAAAACGTCTAAACGAATAGTAAGAGTGATGAATCGATAGATTTAACCTTTTAAATGAATACAAGAAAGTCAAACACGAGAAAAATAAAGCTTTTTTTCTGGTATTACCGTATTACCAAAGCCTACCTGTCTTGGAAGGAGCCTTCAGAACCCCAAGCCCTCTGTTTAGTTGCCGTTACTTCATTTCTTCGAAAATAATCCGTGTTATTATCCCAGGCATGTCTTCTGTCTGCTTCATTTTGCTGTCTTCTTACCATTATCCCTTCTGAAAGGTTTTTATAATTCTTCATCCAGTATGGCTGTAACGTTGGTAGCGCCATTTTGAAATTCTGAATATATTACTTAGYAACGAACGCGTTTGTTTGACATGCGCGGATGTAGGATTCAACCAATGGTGTTGAAATATAGTTTTATGAACGAYTCTTTTCATCTGCCGAAATAGCTCAGTTGGGAGAGCGTCAGACTGAAGATCTGAAGGTCCCTGGTTCAAACCGGAGAGCTCGTAGGAACTCTGAACAATCCCGGGTTTCGGCACATATTTTTTCCTCTTTCATGTAAACTTTCCCTTCCTTCAGGATTCACTTTCTTTTCTCTAAGGAAAAATTTAGCGGCTTCTCCAAAAAATTATGCAATGGAAATATTTTAAAAACAGTTAAAAAATATATTTTATAACAAAATGTTCTCAAAAACTATTTTATTTAAGGGTCACTCATTTTATATTATTAGTATTACCTTATTGGTTACACATTTTTTATGCATATGTGTAATTTTTCCTAAAAGATCTCCCAAAACACAGGAAGCCCAAGCAAAGACAAAATTACTGTATTTTCTTATCGGCTTTTAAGTAGCTTCCAAACAATAAGTTCCATACTTTGAACTTTTTTTGGTTTTGCTTCATGGAACCAAAAACCTACTTTCTTTTTCTATTGCACTTTTTAGATATAAATTTCTATACAGGAACCCCAACAAGTTTGTTATTCTAATACAACAGAAATCGGAAGAGCATCTCGATATTAGTAAGAAGGCAAAGTTTCAGCTTATGACATGTAACAYAGGAGAAATGGCATTAGATACAAAATCGAACATTAGGATTTGTATGGGGAAATGTGCTGGATGGCATCATATTTTCCCATACAAATCCTCATATTATAAAATATTCAATTTCAATTTTATATTTAATGCCATTTCTACTATGGTCAACATTATAAGCTACAACTTTGCGTTCTTACTAATATGGAGGTGCTCTTTCGATTTCGATTTCTCACACATAATAGCCCACTTTTCCTCACTTCTCGTCATAGGCCAGTCACTCTCATCTAGTCATCCCTTGGTCCATTTTTTTGGCTTACAACTTTTTTAAGATTAAAGTTCGGGGTGGTGGAACTATTTTTGACATTAATAATCAGTTTTGGATTTGTCGAGTAAATCTTGAGACGAGTTCTCCGGCAGATCATCATCATCATCAAACGGTTCCTGAAATGCAGGCATCGATTTCTTGCGGTTACTTTGCCGCTTTGATGGACTCCCCGATCCAGACATCGACTTGCCCGATCCTGACCCATCACCAGTAACTTCATCTGAATACTCCGGGTCCTTGCCCTTCAGCGCATCGACTGGACTCAGTCCCCCGACCGAGTTGAAACAACAGCTAAATACGAAGCAGCATAGGATAGTCGCGAGATGAATGAAGGCCACGCCCAGTCCTGCGCCACCGACAATCCTTTGATTTTTGTCGTGGAAATAATTGAGCCCTGTACAGCCTACGATGTTAATGACATCGACCGGGTTTTTGATGTCCATGTCCCAGCCACATGTGGGTGATGGGACTTTACAGCATGAACTGGGCACACGATTGCTCACACCCTTAAAGAAATAATAATATCAGTTTAGAAATGTGCGCATTCGTGGTGGGCACTGCGGGTTTTGGTGCCGTGACTATGACGGCGGTGCTCTTTATAATACTTCAAGAAACAATATTATCAGTTTAGAAATTCGCGGCATTGCRGCATAGTGTGCGCTGTCGCTAGCATCAACGTAACGAAACACGAGACGACGATGGATTAATGACGTCACATTGAAAACCCTGGGGTGAGAAATTTCTTTTTCGGCTGTATAGTTGGGAAGTGCCATCGTCTGCTCTTGAGAATTCTTATTGGACGAGCAGATTGAACACCGGCCCGGGATTGTCCATTGCTGTCCCGTGACGTGCCTTACTGTGCCGTGCCGTGATATTGCAAAGTTTTTTGAAATCTACCTATACGTCTATCAAAAATAACTTACCTGTTTGGCAACCCAGCCTGAGGTGAACCAATCCCGATAGTCCATCACACCACAGCACCCAAACCCTCTCTGTATATCATCCAGCGCCTTAGTAACGCCTGGATCAGTCCCGTACATGCTTAGCAACTGGTGCCCACTGGCTGACTTTGTTTCTTTAAGAACGCCTTCGTTTCGCATCGTAAAATAAACGATTCCCAAAGCAAGTTCCGTTACGAACATTATAAAGAATAACACTGCCATCACAGTCAATAGTCTATTGTTTTCTTTTACTGCTGCGAAAATACATATCCCTGCTATAATTAGAATAAGGAATATCAGACCGATCCTTAGCCCAAGATTGTCGTTAAAGGCTTCTGCTTTTAATGTGAAGTAGTCTCCAAATGGAGTGGCTATTGTGTCGCCGAATATGATCAGAACCAAGCCGATGAGAAAACACAACACTGTGAATCCAATCACACTCGACTTGACGACTTTTCTGCCGTCCCAAGCCATTGGTTACTTGAAGTTTTGATTCTAATAAATCTGGAAGCAGAAAAAAAAAAAGTCTTACATTCGTGGGAATTTTCGTATTACAAATGCGTGAAGAGTAAAAAAGAAAAGCAAGCAAGCAACCAAACAACCAACCAAACAACCAAGCAACCAAATTAAGGAAGGAAAAAGGCCGCATAAGAAAAAATATGTATGCTGCGACCGATCTAGTCTTCTACGCAGCAACTGTCGGAGCGGTGCGCCATTCGTGACGACACTAATAGCGGCTGCGTAGGAGACTGCGTCTCATCACGTTCTACGTGCAAGTGGTGCGCAGCTTTTATTATTTATTTGATAACTATATAAAACATTGTTTTTTGTGGCGTAAGCACGAAAGAAGTGTAAGGAGAAGCACGAACYGTAGGCGAGTGCTTCTCACACTTCTTGAGTGCTTACGGCGATTCCTAAGCCATTTTATTAAGAAGTCACTAATTTTATTTCGGTATTGAATTTATTTTCACAAAAAGAAAAATATCGCAGGATCTAACAGCACTTCGCGCGCGCGGATGGCGTGAGCACTGTACTCCGTTCACTAATAAAGCACAGTTTTCGACCAATCAGCGTGCGCGTACTCGGCACAAAACCGAGCAAGACTCCAAAATTAAGTTATCTGGATTTGCTCGCACGAGAAGTCTCTTAGTTGTAAACTTTATTATCTAGTCTTATATATACGTTGCCAAAATTATTTCTAAGATTTACAGCGCGAGCCGGACTCCCCCTGAAACCATATTGGTTATATTGTCGTAGTCAGACATGCGATACAGAAAAACAACTAAATAAATATAAAATAAGAACAGTAAGTATCGTAGTAAGATTGGAACTTGATACAACAACATGCCAAAAACCTGCTGGTTTATCTGACCGTGGTTTATGATCTCTTTGATCTTATAGCAATATGGTTGATATTATGTAACGGTACTTCAAAACAACATTATAGCATCAAGTTAAAAGACAGGTGATTTCATTTCCGAGTCACTTGGAAAGAATTTGACCCAATATCTCATTGTCATTGCTTGGTTAAGAATTTCCCTATTCTTCTCAAAGCAAATAAAGACTGTACTCATTTGTAATCCGACTGTTTGTTCGTAATTAAAATATTTGCATAAAATAAACACTGAAAAMAAATCAGGAATAATGAATCTCAGGGGGAAATTCATATTTTCTCATRAGTAAGTTGAGATATATATTTGCTAATAAAATTTCGTAAGTTCTAAAGAAAAAGACATTTAAAACATTTAATGTCGATGGTAATACCTTCAGCACAGGAATAAATCGCTACACCTTTTTATTTTTTCCTTTTTTCTTGCTAGTAACGCTTACTAACACTATACAAACGAAATTTTCTGGGGAAGTTTCATAAGTTTTGACATTAGTTTTGGTTTGCAAGGCTACCAACAGATGAGGTGTGAAGACAAAATCAACAAAAGGATGTGGAGAAAATTTATTTTAAGTGTCATCAACGCTAAACAGCAAAATTGGTCGTGATATTACCTGTGTGCTGATTTAAAAAGCAATTTCAAAACTATGTCTAATTTGTGACTGAAGCTTGAGGAAAAGATAAAAAGAAAAGTGAGAAACCAAAAACGTGTGAAAATTCACGGTTTGTTTACAAACTTCAACAGGTTAAGTAGATGATCATAGAGAAGATTCACTCACGGCAAGTTATTCACCGATGTGATTATCGCCCGCAAAGTCTTTTCCCCTTTTCCCGCCAAAGTTGAAGGGTTTCTAAAGCCAATTTTCTTCGGAGATATCTCGTATGGAATGTTGTTCTAACAATTCCTGTGTTGGCGAGTAATTATTTTGTTCTAATTTACCAGTTAGTGTGATCTTTACCTCGTTATCTCATGTCGGCTGTTCCTCACACTAGTTCGTGTCCTCTTCTCTTCTCCATCGCTGGTAATCTTCAAAGAAAGGTTTTGGCCACCATCGGCTTCAATTAAATGCGATTTCCGAGTCTTCTCTATTTCATGAAGCCGCTGCTAAAACTAACAGAAGAAATCCGATAATTTCGTAGGGTGTTTTGATTAATTATTCACATAGTCCGGTCGTTTCCAGAAAGATTTATTAATTGAGGAAATGAGTGTTATGTCGATTGTTTGGTCATGCGAGGAGCAGGTTGGCATGTGGACACCTGCTGTGGATGGGCACCCTGTGTACTGTGGGCCCAGTTACTTGAGCGGAGACTTGGTCGCACTTAGATACACCTAATACAAAAAACGTTGTSGTCGCCAAAGGCGATAGGTCATTCCGACATGGAAATGGTTTCGTTGAATACAAAGAACATCGAATCAGTATCAACACTAAGGTCCATGTTCTTGACGAGAATAAGAAGCAGAAACACAAGTCATTCCAGCTATTCTTGGATCTTGAAATGACATACATCCTATCGCTTTTCACCTATCGCCTATCGCCTTTAATTGGCGATGACAACGTTTTTTTGAATTAGGTGTATAAAGCCTTCACATAACGAGTGAAAGAGATACTTGAAAAAGGTTTATCCCTTGCTCTGGAAGCATATTATCAATATATAAACTCTTAGACTCAGAGCAAAAATTATAGATTGTTGGTCAATTTGTCTGAAATTATGGAAAATTGCTCTGGTTAAAGAGGACTCTGCGCTCACTCGTGAGATATCAATTGAACACTCGAAGATAAAATTCGTATCTCCGCGCGCCCATGTAATATCCTCTGTTTATACGGCACGTGGAAGAACTCATGTATTTAAAAGAGCAATCGAATCAGATGGATAAAAAACGAGATAATATATTTTTTTCATTTTTATTCATCTATTTTTATTCTTATAAAAATACCTATCATTTTTAATTGCTTAGACGGAAAATAAAACGGTGGTGCAATTGTTATCAACTATATTTACAGGCAATGAAAGTAAGAAATAACTAACGACTGAATGAACACCGACTGGATTGGATTGATTGCGATGATACGCTAACCATGTTGGATAGAATAACAATAGTAAAGCGACAACAAAACCGTACCAATTGTTGCGCAATCCGTCTAGCACTATGAGCTGCATTTTATATATTAAATGGAAGCGTATTAGCCCTGCAAAAAACTTTAAAATGTCGCACAACGAGTCGCACCATCCGTAATTGCTTTGAACCTTTAGACAAAAAACTCATATACAGTCAATGTCATTAACGTTGTCCACCAAATAAAGACATTTACACATTTAGACATTTAGACTAAAAAAAATATCACTTGTTTCCTCGAAGGTKCTGGCATAAAACAAATGCTCAAATACCATTCTCCATCTTAAATCCTCACTAAATGGTCAGGGCATTCTGGATTTTCGATTCACGAGTTGAATTTTACATTTAAAGATCAGGCTGACACACACGAGTCAAAGAATACACAATGAAACACGTGATATATCTTTTAGTCTAAATGTGTAAATGTCTTTTTTCGGTGGACAACGTTAATGACATTGACTGTATCTATCTTTTCTATCTTTTGATATTAAGTTAAATATAATTAATTATATCTTTTGATGTTAAATTTGTCTACTGCTAAAGGAATCCTCGCAAAAATATCAAGTGCAGGTCCACTTTACGCGCAAGCATTGCGCGCAATATTACAAGAAATGTTGCAATCTCGTACCCAGAGCTTGCGTTTCTTCTGGCCTCCAGCGAAGAACGAGGGTTCTGGCATGATCCATTTTTTGGCGCATGCGCAATTTTCGAAAAAGAGATATATAACCGATCAAAATAATCAAAGTAAGAATTAAATCAAAACAAAAATCAAAGCAAAAATCAAAGTAAAGATCATAGGAAAAATTAGAAATCGGGAAAATATTTGGCAAGTCTTTGAACGCATGCGCTCTTGAACCGGAAGTCCAAGAAATCCTGGTCTCACAAATTGGATTATGCCAGAGCCCTCGTTCTTCGCTGCAGGCCAGAAGAAACGCAGGCTCTGGGTACGAGATTGGAAATGCTGCTCAATTAGAATCGTTTTCTACTTCAACAACATTGCGTGCAACAAGTTGCGTCGTGTGACCTAGCTCGCAACACCGATTGCCTGCAACGCGCGCAATGTTGCACCGTGTGTGCGTAGCTTAATTCTTTGACTCTATAATGCGCTTTGAATTTGCTTTCGCCTTGGATCTAATTATATTGCAGCCCGAAAAAACTTTTTAAATATTTTTTTGGTCTAATTCTTTGTTATAAATAATACTATTTAATGAATTATTAAAATTCTTCCGTGTTAAGCGACTGGGTAGTTTTAAAGATTTCTTACGTTTATTTTTATCAACCCATATTTGGGTGTATTGGTCACGTGACATATACTCTCGTCGTCACGTGCATAGAAACTGAAAAAGGCGATGTTTGTTACACATCGTCCACTGACAATGCTTGTGCGATTATCATTTACTGAGTGATTTTACTTCGACCACGAAAGAATAGTCAACGTAATACATAGTAGTAGACCAAAATTCCATTTTGTTGTTGTTATACTTTGACTGTTAGTTACTAATCATACAGCTTTGTTTCATGGGCAAAGTAAAATCACTCTATCAAACCTTCACATACTGATACTTAGGGCCATCTTACTGGTATTATGCTGTTTTGAAAAAACCTATTTGGTATTTTTCTCTTTTTTAAGGAGGCTGTGGGTAGTTTTGGTCTGGCACACCTAGCCTCATTGAAAAGAGCTTGCAGATCGAGTTATTCAAGACGAAGTTGTAGCCGTTTCAATGCGGCTAGGTGTCCAAGACCAAAACTACCCACAGCCTCCTTAACTCTCCGGGCTAGTTATCGGGAGGTCCTTCTACAGACTAGTCCATCGATGATGTCTTTAGGGATCTTTTCTGGCTGCCTTGCGCAAGTTTAAGTTTCGTTTCGATTCCTCTTGCGCTCTATTTAGACTCAGTTACCTTTGATAAGGAGTTTGGGAGTAGAGAGGATTCTATCTCAGAAGGCAAAGGAAGCCCAACCTCGAGATGTAATATTATAGCTTCCATCCAATTTTCGACTGTACTGAATGTGGGCCTGCGTAAATACCAATCAAAAGAATGTGTCTAGTATTATAGAAGGTGGTCGAGTCCTGAACCAATGTAGTGTGCGGGAGACAGAAAAATAGCTTTTTATGCCATTTACGAACATGAGAGATGGTTATTATGAGGCGTAGGCACTGTGGGTGGTCACTGCCAGGGTCTCTTTACATCCTCAGTAGTTCTTAACGTCCTTTACGTTCTCATGCAACAACAATATATATCTACACGGACCACTTCAGAAACTAAACTTTTTCTGTTAGCCTCGCATCCAAGATTTAAAAGAGTCTATGGTTTTCTTTGAGTCAATTTTCCAGCTATTTTTTTTACCTTTTATCGGGGTCCATGCTACAACAATTAAACGCTGCTTGGTAGAACACCTCAGGACATTCAGTACAAAACTTTTTACGGTAAGCTTCTTCGTCAATACCGAAATACTATACAAATAAAACCTTATGTATTAATACCTTAGAAGTATAAAAAGTTAGCACAAAAACAAATACAGTACAAACTAAATCTTATGATAAATTGACCACGAACCGACCACGAACCTTTGTTCTTGGAAGAAACTCTGGATCAGCATATACTCTTCCTATGATCTAAGATAAAAATGTTCATTAGAAATCACAGCCACTAGTAAGAGAATGATGGTCTAATGATGATGATGATGATGATGACTTTATTTACAAGAGGGATAAGAAGTATTAACTTACAATAGTTATCTAACATACGGCTCTCATGAAGTTTATCTCATATTATTTGGTGAATACATGAGTGCTAAAGTCGAATTTGTTTACTTGTGTGCATGGGTTGGGGGGATTACGGAAGCGATGATGTTAATGATGGTGGTAATAATCGTTGTGGTGGTGTTGGTGGTCGGTGATGTAGATGATGATCGTGATTACTGGTAATATTAGTTATGATTATGATGATTGTGGTGGTGATGGTGGTGACGATATTGACGAGGATAATCCACAGTGGCGTAACCAGGAATCTTGCAGGGGAGGTGCCAGGCAATGATTTACAGAAAAAAAGCAGACGCAAAAGAAAAAGTAACCAAAAAAAAGCAGAACCAAAAAAAAAAAAAAAATGGATAATGGATAATCTTAAAAATGCTACAATATGCAGACGGAAAATGGTCTTCATTTAATCAAAAAACATTTACATGCAATTTTAAAGCAAAAGGAGATAGATGAGCGGACTTTAAGCTTTTATGGGGGAGGGGGGGGGTGCACGTGCACCCTGTTTTCCCCCCTGGTTACGGACCTGATCCAGGTGGTGGTGGTAGTGGGTGGTTATGCTAAAGTTACTTGTGGTATTATTGGTACATAGTGATGGAGACAATGACAGCGAAGATGATGCTCATCAGTGATGTTGATAATGATGACGATGATTACTGCCAACCTACCTCGCACATCACGATCCCATAAGAAAACACGTCGACTCGCTCATCGTAATCTTTTCCTTCAAATTGAAATTTAAAAGACTGTTAGGTAATACTGCAGGCAACACATACACAAAACATGTTTTTTTTTTGTTGATCGGAACTACATAAATACATCTATGTAACGAGGTTCAATAAATCTAACAAGTGCAATAAGAACTAACCATTTAACATCTCTGGTGCCATCCAAAACGGTGTTCCTACTACAGTATACCTGCATGAAATTATTATCCTTATTATAATCAACCATATTCGACGGCAAGTCGGGGAAAAAAGGGAAAACCCAGAGAAAGACGAAAGAGAGATCCAACAAACTCTGCACACGTGATCCCGTACCCGGGAATCGAATCCAAGACCCTAGTAGTGAGACACAAGTGCGCTACAACTACACAAATAGCGGCAGAGCGAAAGTTTCCGCCAAATAGCGATGGAGGGAAGAGTGCGCGTGAAAGTTTCCCGCCAAAACCACAGGAACCCCACCAATAAATCATGGTATTAATTCGATTTTTCTTATCAAAAATAATAAACCTGAGGTTTAATGATGGAAGCGCTCGCGCCCTCCCTACGCTATTTTAAACCACCCTAGATTCCCAGGAACACCAAACATAGGAATGAAATTTTTGCAGTCAACGAATCTTGTCGCACCTTTTCTTTGGCCCTGGTGGTTTTCCGCCTGGCGACTTGGATGAATGATTCGCGCCGTTTTTTACATAAGATGGTGGTTCTTCTGTCACTCTTGCCAAACCAAAATCAGCCACAACAACTGTCATTTCCTGGTCAAGATATTAAAAGATAAAGGTTTGCGAGTGATATCCTGTTTAAGACTGCAAATATAACTAAGATGTTAGACTGGTCTATGGTTAGGTAAATGAGAAATAAAGAAGAATTACTGTGGTAGAAACAGCAAATAGACCCTTTTTGGAGTTCCAAATTACCGGTGTGTTTCTTGATTACAGACTCATTTACTCAGGCTTAGCCTCGAATCAGTGTTTAAATATTCACAAATACCAAAGGTAAAGTAAAGAATGCACAATTTCAACAATACGAATACTTTGAAACTTGACGGACCTTGACTGGGACACCTGAATATTCTACATAAAATCGAGGCTAAGCCTGAGTAAATGAGTCTGTAATCAAGAAACATAGCGGTAATTTGGAACTCGAAAAGGATCTATTTCGTTTGACTGGGAAGAGTTTACTGCTTGGACGTGACGTGCCGTGTCTGACTGCATTTTCATTTGATGGCAGTAATGTCACGTGTTTTGATTGGCTTAAAAGATGCCCCTACTCAAAGTTACTCAAAGACTACTCAACATTTTCATGCATTTTTTATCAGACCTTCTATATTTGGGCTGCGTTCATGATGTATGGCAGGGGTGGGGGAGGGGGGGCAGGTGAAAATTTGAAATGTCCAGAATAATTCTTAACACCCCCTTAAAGTTATGTAAAAAAAATATACGACCCCCCTAAGCAAAGCTTGTAGCTTCTTCCAAAAATTGTGCATCCCCCCATTTTTCTGATAAAAATTTACCCATCCCCCCTTTTTCCTACCAAAATTTCCCCGAACCCCCCTCAATTTCACCTGCCCCCTCCTCTGCCATACATTATGAACGCAGCCTTATTCTTAGTAATTGGAGCGTGTTCTTGGCACTGATCAGAAATGGAAAACTGCCCTTAGCACCTACCTCGTCGTTTTTCACTAGACAGTTGTTGGAATTCAAATCCCGGTGCATAACATGCATTTCATGGAGGTACGCCTGAACAGAAAGACAAAAAAAAACTCTCAACAAAATCCCTGAGCACAAAAAAGAAAAAGAAAATAAAATAAAATAAATGGGCTGATGCAAGTATCTCCTTACCATTCCATCTGCGATGTCACGGCAGAATTTGACCTTTTGGGTCCAGGACAGTGGTATCACCTTCAAGAGAAAAATGGTACGTCACATTCGTATGTGTAGAAAATGATTGGCGTAGCGATAAAGGCAACAAAATTGTGTAACTTGTCACGCAACTTCACTGTGTTGCTAGTTGCAGAGCCAATGTTGCTAAGTTTTCTCTGTTATAAGAAGTAGAAGCTATCTCTACTCTTTGCAACAATGACATCTCATTACGCAGATGTAATACAAGCACCACAACTGATCTTCCTATACAGTATACGACCAAACATGAGCACCAGTATAAAGAATGTACAACCGATTTCAATAATCACCTTGTCTTCTAAGACTTTTCGTAGAGTGCCCCCTCTAATGTATTCTAAACAAAAACCAAAATATGTGAATATCATAAGAATCAATTCTCTGTGCCCCAGGAACGTGAAGACGAAGATCACTGAGATATCTCGCAATGACCTCTATTTAGCAGCCCTCCATGGGGACATCAATGGTCGCTATAATAAGGTATAAAGTAGTGCTACTAACTAGTCACTAAATAGAGAATGGTCGCCTAATAAATGGTCAGTTAATAGAGATTCAAATATTGATGGGGTCGAGAACTATTACAGGATGATAAAAGGGGGTTACCATGGAGGGGGAGGGGGGGGGAGTTGGGCTATCTTTGTAAAGCTTTCCAGGGGGGGAGTTGGGTTATGTTTGTAAAGCTTTCCATGTTATTTTGCCAACCCCCTCACCCCCTCCCCCATGCACTGATAAAGGTAAGTTGTCACCTCCACAAACCTGTAATGAGGTTTAGGGTTTTCCCCTTGTAGAGTATACCAATGAACCGCAAGACGTGCGGGTGACGCAGGCTCTTCAATAGTGCAACCTAATTCAGAAAATGTTCTTTAGTATAGTATTACTTATATATAGTGTACAGCTGTAGTAATAGCAATGAGAAATTGCTGTGCACCTCTTGGGCATCAAGTGGGTTTATTCTGAGTATGAGACAGACATACAGTCCTGACTTACAATACTGACACTGTTCAACATCAAGTTCTACAGCTGGTGGGAAAACTGTGCAAATCAGCCAGTTAAGTTGGGTTGCACGCTAGCTAATCAAGTGACGTAAGTGAGGTTTGTTTGAGAAATCAAGGGGAATTAAGACTGGTGTAGTATAGCCTCCTCTGCTGGCATCTCCTTGCCTCCATAAGATTTAACATGGGGATCTCAAGGGAGAATATATGACTCAGGTTCGATTCCCAGAATTGTCATCATACGTGAGTAGAGTTTGTTAGTTATTTCCCCTGATTCGAGGGTTTTTTCCCAGTTCTTCAGTTTTTCTCCCTTCACAAAACCTAACATGGTAAATTCCAATTTGATCCGTCAGTTAACACAGCTTCCACTGACTGACCAGCCCAAGGTCTATTATTGATGTCATCTGTGCCTTGCAAGTGACAAACATTTCTACAAACCTCCTTTAGGAAGTTATCTGTGTCTTCCTTGTTGTACATAAGAAGCTCTTTCATGACCATCACTTCTCCTGTTTGTTTGTGTGTCACCTAACGAGACGAGATAAGATATGGTAATTAGCGTCTGGAGTTATCTTGATGTACTTTGGAAATTTACATGACCTATCCTTATCATTGTTCATCATCTCAGTCATAACAACCACCATTACCATCAACAATACCATCACCGATTCAATGTCATCACCATCACCATCATGCATCAGTATTATGCATCACCATCATGCGTCACCATCATGCATCACCATCTTGCATCGCCATCATGCATGACCATCAACATTACCATCATGCATCAACATCATGCATCACCATCATGCATCACCATCATGCATCACCATCATGCATCACCATCATGCATCACCATCTTGCATCACCATCATGCATGTATCACCATTAACATTACTACTATAACCATCATACATGCATCATGCAATCATCGTCATTGACATTATCATCATTATAAACCATCATCATCATCATCACCACCAGTACCCATCACAATCATTTATCATTATCAGTAACATAAACAAAGAGAAGAATAAAAGAAGCACTTCTCTCCTTCAAAAAAAAAGAATGGAATTGGAATGGAAGTTGAATATATTTCCCATTCAATTAGGTACCTTAACCACTTGTCCAAAGAACCCTCGTCCTATTTCTTCACCAATAATCAGATCACAAGGTCGAAACACTCTACAAGAGATAAAGCCATATTAAATATTGTCCATAAATAAATGAATAAATAAAAATTTCTTTTATTGGGGGGGGGGGTGGAGCTTCAGAGTAGGAGGGGATTATCAGTAAAATATGATTTTTTGTGCTGTGTCAAAACTTTTTATTTTGGAGAAAGCTGTTTTTCCTTGTTGACTTAATAGGAGGGAAAYGAATTTCTTAATAAATAAAAGGACGAGGGTTACGACCATTTTTAAAATGCTTGTGAATCTCCAAGCCCTCAGCCTTTCTGATGTTATTATCTTACCTATTGTAACCATGGTCGTACTTAAAAGACTGAGCTCGAAGGAGTGGAGACCTCATCTTTGGAACATCAGACAGAGAATTACTAAAAAGGGATCAAATAAATTATCTCAATTTTTTAATCTTTACAAACAATTTAGAGTTTCATGAAGTTTGATATCTCATCTGCCAAATAGCATTCGAAGTTGGCCAATCAAAGACCTGCAATAAAATACAATATCCTGAGGGAGATTTTGGTATGGCATATCAAAGACAGCTAAACAAAAAATGTCTTAAAATACTAAAAATATCTTACCTTCTTGGCATAGAAACAGCTCTTTCTTTCAAACGCCTCATTTCTTCTTTGTTCAGTTCATCTTTAGTACAGGGGAAAGAGTGCTGATGTGTGACATGTTCTTTTTCCTCCGTCTCTCCATTAGCCTTTGGACTTGCTGCTGTTGCTGATCGCTTAAAAGACCTTTTAGAAAAAAATGTGATTGATCTTTGACGTTGCCTAGCCTTTTCATCTTGATATTCCTCTTCTCCTTCAAAGCTGTCTTGTTTGCACAGTTGAGGTTTGAGTGAGTTAGGTGATGGTGCAGGTAGATTCATAGTGGGCTTCTTGGAGGACGAGAAGCTTGGGTTTCTTTCCAATGTAATCTGGTATATCCCTGTGGGTTTCTTCACGAGTGTGGCACCAACCTGTCCAGGAAGTGATAAACATCAGTTTATCCCTAATGGTCTTCAAGAAACAAAAAATTGAGTATCATTGGCAATATAATATACTTTGAATAATAAAATAAACCAATTTGGGAAGCTTGGGTGGTGTTCACTGCTAATGTAAACTGGGATTTCTATTGTGCATTAGGATCTGGATGGGAAGGGTTAAAGAATTCTCAACACATCTCATGTCCCCCATTTTGAAATATCAGGGGGGGGCGGAGAGTTAGGGTTAATACCCCAAAGTCCCCTCCCCAGTAATAAAAAAATAGAATCTAAACAGACAAAACTAAAAACAAAAAAATGATGTAACAGAGGGAAAGAAAAAAACACAAATATAAACTAACCGTCTCAACATTCTCATTGTCAACTTGAATGCCATTCAGTTCCAAAACTTTATCTCCTTCCAGTAGGGTTCTTTTATCTGCAGCTTTTGACCCTGGTTCAAACCTGTAGCAAGGAATTTTAATGTTAAACCATAGAATCATTTTCAATAGAGGTCAAAGTCTTGGCATTACTATTGACTATCTGATATTGAAGGGAAAGACTATCTAGTTTTGATTCATGCCTCCAAACATCATATACAAAATACTAGGAAATATTTGAAATATAACATGCATGCTGATTTGCTGGCTATTGTGTTTATATTAGAAAACAGAAACATGCGCTGAGTGTTGGCTAAATCATTAACAACTAGAAGAGAGTACCATAAGTTCATATCCAATGCCAATATCAAGTGCAATTCAGAATTTATAGGTATGAATGATGTTTAGAAAGTTCTCAAAATTGGAAGATTCTTCCAATTTGAGAACTTTCACGAGTATCTATAAATTCCAAATTGTAGGACAACATTGTGATTTTTTGTTTATAATACATTCAACAAAATTGAGTAATTTAATTGGGACTCTACAGAGTACAATTTGGGATTTAATTGTACTCCTCTTGTCCAATCAGAATCGAGTAATTTTRTKGAGTGTATTATAAGGTGTCTTATTTACTGTTTAATGACTATACTGATGTTTCCTGTTTCAATCGAAGGCTTTCTCTTTTGCAGAGCATCAACTTCCACATTTAGACTAATTTTCCTTGACTTGTCTTCTACCAAGTGGAGATGATGAATTGTATGCCAAGAACCCACATCGTATTCAGGTGCTGCCTCTTTGACCTCAATATTATAGCATTTACCACTACAAAAATATAGAAAATAGAAATATAGAAAACAACATTATATACAAGATATGGTATTGATAGAGATTAATTGAAAACCTTCAAATTTTATCTATCACCTTAAATGACTTCTAGGCTCAATGAAGTCAATGCTATATATTGAATTGGAATATTGAATTTGTTATGTTTTGCAGAGGAAGCAAAACTGGAGACTACCTGGAGAAAAAGCCTAGGGTCTAGATTTGGGAAGCACAGGTGGCGTAGTGGTGTGAGCGCTCGCCTCTCATCAATACGACCCAAGTTAGAGTCCCGCTGGTCTCAGTGTTGTATATGAGTAGAGTTGTTTGTTGGTTCTCTCCTGTGCTTCAAGGGTTTTCTGGGTTCTCCGGTTTTCCTTCCTCCCCAAAAATCAACTCCTAAATTCCAATTCGATCATGGAATGAGGGCCAAAGGTTTGTTAGCCACTGTCTATTAAGTGCTACCCTCGTGAAAAAAGGACGTTTTTTTTTTTAGATGCTAGACCTATCAAACCATACTCATATGTACGTGAAAAAACTGAAATTAAAACTTATCCTTTGTAAATAATTTTATTTTGTATTTTTGTTGTCGTTTGTAATTTTCCTTTTTACTAGCGCTCAAAACAGATTTGTATTTGCAGTTTATAAATAAATATTATTATTATTATTATTAATATTATGTGATGCCAAGATTATTACTGTTAAGATCTAGATATCATTTCCATTTATGAGTTTTCAAATCTTATAATATGAAATGATATGTTATAAAAGTAATGACGAGAAGCAAACATACTTTGATTATTATATTTTTACTGGATATTTCAATTACTGACTAGTGATCGTCATTAATATTTTCAAAATGATACATAAAATGAGTAAATAGGAACAATATCAGGATCTAAATTAACATGTATTAACTTGTTAACACATTTAGGTTTGATGAAATAACACAGCCTACAGTTTACATGTACCATGAGTGCTAATTTTAATGTAAAACATAATTTATTATTATTTTGAGCCTTTGGAACAGTTTTGTTTTTGATCAAGAGACTTGTAAAAGACTACTGCAACTCAATTGTAAAATTATTGTCTGGTTTAAAACATACAACACAGAAACTGGGACCAAAGTGTCTTATTTTGGGATATGACATAATTGTCCTTAGGAGTATTTATTTGATATACACAGTCAATATGAAACATGTGTTAAAAGCCTCCACATTTTCTGTTATTGCAACGATTCATTAACACCAGTTGTATCACTAGATACATGTAATTAAAGTACTTCCCATGTACCATTTTGGTCTTGAGCTTCTATGCTCTTTATTTTGAACTTGATTTTGCAATTGAATGTATACATACATACCATAAGAGCCTATTTCTTTCGACCATCACATAATCATCATCATCAGTAAGGTATCTTTTACAATGATTACAAGAAAAACATTCAGTGTGGAACTTGTGATCACCAATAACCTAATCGTACAAGGAATCAAAAACAATTTGAAGGAAAATTTGTATTAAGAAAATAGCCTAGGTTTTTAATTGAAAAATATAATATATATTGTACTTTATTTACATAATCAATTTTTAATGATATAAATAATTTAGCTTTCAGCATTGCACTATCAGGCCTTAATGTAACATAAGGAATATATTTATTATTATTAGAACATATATAGTATCTATTATTGTTGCAAATAAATATCAAATAATATATCAAAGAAAAATAAGACAAAGATGTATAAAAACATGAATATTCAAATATTTATTAGAGTTCAACTTAATTCTAAAGATCTTTGGATTTCTTTTGACAAAATTCGAGAAGGGCTTAGAATTGACAATAAAGAGCTTTTAAATAATCTGTGAATAAATTAAGAATTGTCAATTTACTAATGTTGTACTTTACAACCAAAACTTTAATTGGATAACACATAAGACCACCCGTTTTAAGGGTTTTTGAAMCCGCAAGGCAAATACTAGCATTTTAAGGATCAATTAATCGTAGAATGATTGATTATCCATCAATGAAAACGTTTGTACTGTAAAAAGAATCATGAAGGTGTGTAAGATGTGTAAGTTTGATGTCAGATGATAAAGAAGCGTCTAGTCTACTGTAATTTAGAATAAAACAAAATATTAGCTACTCTAACTCCTAAAATAAAGCAAGCTTTTAAAACCTTAAGTGTCACAAGTGTTAATAATATCATCAATGATAAAATAATAAAATAAAGTCAGGGTGAGCACCTCGACACTCTAACTCGAAAAGCTCCCTCTCGAAAGAATAGCAAATATTTAAAGTATGAAAATAAAGCTCAAATTAAATGAGTTTTTAAATCAAACCGAAAGAAAGGATAAATAACTGCATCTACGAACCATCATTGGTCCTGTTATTTTGCAAGCACAGCCATGGCAGACTGAAGAATGCTTGAGAAGATAGTCCCTTCGGCAAAAAAGCTCGGAGCCGCGAGCGAAGTAACAAGACGAAACGTCTTCCCCACACACCGAACACCTTGAAATAAACAGACAATGCCAATTTAAATATACAAAATGGGAACCATTTATGATTGGGTATTATCACACAAAGCAAAAAAAACGTTTTTTTAATGGCGTCTACCGTTTAGTATATCCATGTAAATTATTTTATTTTTGGACGCACTGGTGCAGGAAGTGAACATTTTATCTACGCTCACCTGAAGCACTTTTTGTGGAGGTAATTTCGCATCGCCTTCGCTGAATTCTTCAAATTAACTTGCTCCCTACACACAAAGCAAGGCTTTGCTGACATCTTGAATTCTCTAGAGAGTATTCAAAACAAATCTTTAGACATTTTGTTGAATCACTTTATAACAAGTTGTCAAGACCACCTCCCGTGAATGAAGAATGTAACCAGGCCGGGTGTCCTTTTACTTTATCATAACAACCCAGCCCTCCCCCCCTCTTTTAAACACTCGATTACCCTTTGTCAGGAAAATYATTAAAAGTTATAGAACATTTAATCTATAAGTCTCAGTATACTGAAACAGCTGGGGAAAAAACATAGTTTGGTTGACACGAAACTTCGCGTGACCGACTTCGTTAGCAAACAAATTTCTTCACAAGTCAAAAACTATACGATGTTTTAAACCTTAAATACTCCCCATGGGGAAACATATATCATTGATTCAAGTACTAACTAGGTTTTCCTTCGTTTTTCAAAATAATACTAATTTGTTTCAGTCTTTAGATCAGAAGGGTAGAAATGGAAAGTGGGATTTCCCAATGTTTTGAATGGGAAAAGTGAGGAAATGAGATTTTGTATTGTAAATGGGACATAAGTCTCTGGAAAGGGGAAACATAAACACTCTAATAGGAATAAGTTCATCAATACTGGTAAGTCTCGGTAAGTCACGAATTTGCGAAATTGAAGTATTTTACAGCATGTATGAGATGATAATATAACCTTGGGCTTCCTGTGTATCATTGATCAACATATTCCTTGCTTCGTCAAGCCATTTTTTTTCACCAGCACATCAATGTTGGAAGTTTTTTTGCAGCTTTTGCGGCCGAAAACATCAAATATAGACCAGAATCATAAAGAATATTGAAGAAGGACAACACAGAGGCCTATTACATCGATAATGGTTTGTATGAAGTAAAGTTTATTYACGTCTTGATCTTAGCCAGCTCCCTAAATGACAAAACACGCAAGCTTAATTAATCTTAGAATGGAATAGTATCGGTGTTATTTCCTTTGTTTTCTGTATCTATGAATGCTATTACAGTACATTAACAATTAAGCTTTGTCCATGGTTTAAGCATAGTTAATAGATCTAGAGTGGAATGGTTAGGAAACCTATTGTTATCAGGTCTTTGCTCGCTTTTGATGTTGAACCGTCTTGACCGTGCACAATGTTTGATTTATGCTCATCCGAAATTGCAAAATAAGTAAACATAAACTTTGTCTATGGGATTGTTGTAAGGAATATTTATATATCTCTTATAAATCTTTAAGTATTTTGAACTAGAAGCAAAGAGCTCATATTAAGCTTAATTATATCAGTGAATTTTTACCAATCATGCATGCAATTGTATGACATACCTCATAATAATGATATTTCTTTATCAATTCTAGGCCCAATCTCGAGTTTTAGTGATTGGTGCAGGAGTGATGGGGCTCACCACAGCCTTGGAACTTGTACAACATGGGTAAAAATTCTTATTGTAATCTTTGATTGTGGAGTTTTTAAAAACCAGTTCTGGCAGGTAGCCATGATCTTCACTGAACTTTGCAGTTTGATATATGGCATTTGTTTATGATATAGAGGATGATGCATAAAGTGCTGAAGGGAGGGGTCTAGAAGTAGCCCTGTAAAACAAGTGTGTCAGATAATGTCTTATGGAGTGACTCCTTTTAAAACTACTCCCGTGGGGGTACTCTTGCCCTTTGGGGTAGGGATGTGCTACTGAGCCCACTGAACCCTGACCCTGTTCCAGAGTAAAATTGCTGAAATTTATATTCTGTTCCAGAGCAAGATCGCTGAAAATCATACCCTGTTTTGGTATTGTAAAAATGGATACCCTGTTCCAGAAAGGAGAGAGCATGATTTCATATATCCTGTCCCAGATCGATCGCAATTTTATATACCCTGTTCCAGGGTAGAATCGCTGGGAACCATACCCTGTTTGGCGGCATGTACCCATATAGCGAATATAGGGGAGTACCACCCCCCCTTCCCCCTGGAAACTACTCCCTCCCCCAGCCCTCAAAACTATTGCACCACTTCATGGATTCAATTTTCATCTAATAGTTTCTTGTGTTGTTAGGTACCAAGTTACAGTGCTGTCTAAAGACTTCATGTCTCCAGACAACAAGTCTAAACTAACATCACAAGTTGCAGCAGGTCTATGGAAAATTCCAGTGCATTCCAGCGACTGGAGAGATGATAAAGTCAGAGAAAACATCAGGGTACTTATTTAAAGTCTCAGATTTGTTTTCACCTAATTTAATTTTWAAATATTTGCATCACCCCATAAGTTTCTGAAACTCTCACTTCATTGGACTTTTCTGAGTTAAGAAAACAATGTGCATTGTGTCCTTAGCTTAGGTGAAAACATTAGTATATAAGGCATGATTAACAAGGGTTTCTTTAGGAAATATGTTAGTACCAAACCTAGACTGGAATGAACATTTGTTGCTTACTCAATTATGGTCCTCATAAGGTATGATGAACAAAAGTTGTTGTACCCAAGCTAAACTACAATGCACAATGTTTGCCATCTCAGGAAAGGTCTATGGTTGTTGCTTGACTCTATTATTTTACTTCTTACCAGAGATGGGCTCTTCGCAGCTATGCCATCTATTCCAAGTTGTCGCAAGATGACAAAAACACAGGTGTTTACTTCAGACCAAGGATTAATCTCTACTATACAAAGGTATTTGACAGTCTGATTATAGCAAAAGAAAAAGATTATTAAAAGATCACAGACCCCACCACTGCCCTCCCCCCAAACTTTCAAACAATAAATATTAATCAATATAGATAAAAATTGGTTAAAACTATTTGATTACATTATCCTAGTTTTCAAGCTCAGTAATGTGATCACACATTTATGTTTCTTTTTGGAATCTGGTTAGATCAATGATGACCCAAAAGCAAAGCTGTTTTTGGAGGATCACTGTCAGTTACCAGGGTTTCGTCACTCAGATCAAATTATTGCAGAATATGGTAAGCATTCTGAGCCTTCGGTGGAGTTGTCCATCATGCAACATTTTGTGAGAAGTGAAGTGTTGTGTGACAATCCTAAGCGTAAAAGAAAAGTGGATATTGGTTCAGTTCAAATAATCAAAAATACAGTAATCTTTTATTTGGTACTGCATATCATTTACTGGGTTTCATTTACTTTTTCTTTACTTCTTATAGGATTTTCAACAACCTGTGGCTTGGTGGATGCGTTTTTATTTCATGCACCGCTGGTAGATACTGATGTCTTTCTCAGTTGGCTGACAGGACAGGTATGAATCTGCAAAGAGAGCATTAGAATATATACTAAAAACTATGTATAGAAGCTTGGCTGAATTATCTCTTATATAAAACGATTCTATTGTTCCTGCCATCAAACATGGCTGCCATCATGTGAAGATGCAAAGTTTCTATTTTCAAGAACATACAGTAAAAATAGTTAGGAGCAAATAGGGGGAGGGGTGTGTGGCCAGGAGTGTGGGGGAAAAGTATTTACATGAACCCGTAGGGGTTGTTTTCAGGTAGTCTTTGGTGCCCTTGATAAGCCCCCGGGGGGGTACTCCCCTATATTTGCTATACAGGTATGTGCTGCCCTATAGGGTATGGTTTTTCGGCTTTTGGGTCTGGGGTAGGGTATCATTTTTTGACATTTTGTCTGGGATAGGGTATCATTTTAGTCTGGGATAGGGTATCATTTTAGTCTGGGATAGGGTATCATTTTAGTCTGGGATAGGGTATCATTTTAGTCTGGGATAGGGTTAACGATTTGGTTGTTTTTGTCTGGCGAATAGGCTACGCTTTCTGCCGACACAAAAACCATAAAAATGTTAGTAAATATTGATTGCAATCAATTGTAAAACCGTATTTTTCGTCTTTTAGTCTGGGATAGGGTGTACACTTCTTAGTTTTTGTCTGGGGTAGGGTATGTAAAATCAAAATTTTAGGTCTGGGATAGGGTCAGGGTTTTGAGGTCTTGGCGACACACCCCTACCCAAGTTGGGGTGGTAGTACCCCCTGGGGATAAGCCTTATGCTAGTTTACCATCTGACTGGCAGGAATAACTTGACCAGTTTAGTAAGATCTAGAGAGCATTCCCACCCCTCTACCTCTCTGGATATGTTTCTGCAACGTAAAATATCGTTGAACATGTTTACATACTTCAAGTGCATTCATTTCTGTGATGAACCCCCTCAGTCTTCCCATGATCCTCCTCTGCATTTTCAGACTGAATATTTTTCAGTGTGTGGGTATATTGAGTATTTTTTGTAATCAGTGCACATCAAATGGTGTGAATTTTGTTCAAGAAACTATCCACGGACCCTTGAGACCACAGCGTGAGTCACTGATGAAAAAGTACAAAGCAGGACATATCGTGAATTGCACTGGAGTCAATGCAAGAGAATTAGCAGAAGATAACGATGTTTACCCCATGACAGGTAAACACTTACTCRACCTCCTCTCCCCAAAAATAACAATTGACAAGAAAAGGAAGAAATTGGCCTCTGCTTCCGGATGTGTAACATGCAAGCATGAACGTATGATGTAACGTGGGTGTGTTGACTGACGGACACGCTAACCATAATAAAAATTGCGAACGATGGGCGGAATTGAACACAAACTTGTACAGGATCGAGTTTTAAAACGTGACTTCTCAACAGTGCTTTGCAAGAGTTGTGTTTGCGTTAGTGTTTGGGGGAGGGGGAGGGGCGAGGTTTTGGGCAGGGTGCTATTACAAGCTACTCGATTCAGCCCTGTTTTCTTTGTATTCGATCAGAAATAGTTTCGCTCCTTGAAACATCTTCACCTACTTAGATTTCGACTGATCAAATGTTCTTCTATTTCATCCAATTTTCTCCCTATTTTCTCCATCTTCTATTTCTGTCGTTGTTTCAGGTGCTGGTTTGATTCTCAATTTCTCGGATGCTCCCTTTCATTGCCCAAGGTTTGGTGCTGAGGTTCATAATCACTGGCACGACGATCGATTAAATGTTGGAGGAAAGGGAGTAATAGTTTTTAGAGGTCAGTATTTTAGAGACCTTTTGGGTTTACCGCTAACTGCTAGAGGTCAGGTCCTGAAGAAACACGCCTGCAAACACGGAGAAACACTAAGCATCGATGAAATTCAAAATGGAAAGCCTTCACATCAACAATTCTGTTATGACGCCTTACAAAATGTCGAAAGTCAGGGACGGCGGAGCAGTTTTTTGATTGGGGGGGGGGGCTCAATAATGACATTGTATGGCAAGGTGGGGCGCCTGAGTTTAGTGAAAATGTAATAAAATTTCACAAAAAGTGCCTCCCCAGTTCCGCCGTCCCTGAAAGTTCACGGAATACGCCTGACGTGGAACTGCAGTTTGAGGTTCGCGGTATCTAGCAATAGCGTCGTGCTAAAAGTCTCTTAGTCATTACGTTGTACTTCCTATCCTCTTGGTCTATCCTTTTCGTTACGCCTTTAACTTTATTAACAGCAATTGTCTTTTCTCGCTTGTTCTGCAAAATTAAAGTGTGTCTGTGCTAGTGTGTATCCTTATACGTCTGTTCACTCCTTGTTGTTGTATTTCAGGTGCCAGTTTATGGCTTGGGACAATCGAACACCCGTCCTACGACACTAACTTAGACGTCAAGCACCCCTTCATCACACGAATGCTACGAGAGGTCCAGACTGTATATCCTCCATTACAAACCATTTCCGAAGACAACCTTCAAGTAACTGTTGGTGTGCGTCCYATGCGCACAGGGAGCCCACGTGTTGAACAAGATTCTACATGTCCTTATATCATTCATAATTATGGACACCGTGGTTTGGGAATTATGATGACGTGGGGATGTGCGGAGGATGTTTTGAAAATTATTATGAAATCTCAGTCAATGGGTCCAAAGCTTTAAGAAGTTTGCGATAGGGTTTTGTATAAAGTGGTGTTGTAAAAGACATAAAGTTAAAACAATAGACCTTTTTAGCTTGGGCGTACTAATATTTTTCCATTTCATACCACGTGTTATTCTCTTGAAAAATATATAATTCAATGCAGTGTTTTTTAGCTTCTAAAGAATATTAACTTGTCTTTGCAGCTATTTTTTATTAAATTAAATAAATCGTTAGCGTATTCACTGTGTATAAAGTGTGGTGCAGGACTTGACCCTCGCGGATCTTATTTACCCTGACATTGACCAGGCCATTGATTCTGGACATTTCAGTAGCCTGCGTGGCGGCTCCAGCTTTCCCCCTTCCCCTCCCCTCTTCCCTTTCCCCTCGTCCCCAATCTCCCGAGCCGCGATTCAGGCTAACTAGCTCTTTCAGAGGTTCGATAACCTATGTTTGTCTGTCCGTCGCCAGTTCCGTCTGTCTGTCGGTTTGTTGACAGGTATTTTCAACTGACACACAACTGTTAGTCACGCCATGCACGCTCGAGAAAAAAACCCAAGGGGTTGGGCTTCCTTTGTAATTTCTAGAGCTTTCTACTACGAATTTCTCACCAAAACAGCAGAAAATCGAATTAATACCAGCATCCTTATACATTTTCTTTTATTAATATATGAATTTAAAAATTTATGGCCATCAGAGCGAAATAATATATTCAAAAATACTAAATATCACAATATAATTCATGAATATAATTTTCATGTGACAAATAGGTGAACCGCCATATAACGACACAATAAAGAGAGAAGACTACTTTTTACAATCATGTTCCACAGCACTGCTCAACAACCATCGTTTAAGGTGAGAACTATACTAATATAATATAAAGAATGACATACTTGTTGACTCAATCGAAAAAAAAGTGGTTCAAATCTACGGTTCGTTCGTTATCGACCTATCTGGCTCAGTAATGGAAGATGATGAAGACGAAAGAAATTATTTTTATACGTCTTTGACAAATATATATTTCGATATATTGTACACAAATATAGCCTTTGTAAGYGTGTCTGCATGCAGGAAGCCGAGGTCGGTAGCCGTTCCTGTTGGGGTAAGCAATAACATTTATAGCTTTCCAAGCAAGTACATTAATAATAGGAATGGCCTCCTAAGAACCAGTCTGCATAGGAGGCTAGTCTAGTACACTATGTGTAAAGACAAACAAATTAAAGTAAGTCAAATTTGGGTAAACGAATGTAGTTACATTTGAACTACGCCGATTTTTATGTTGTTTTTGTTTATTTCGGTGGTAAATACTCACTCCCTCGTAGTTACACTTTGTCTTACGGAAAATTTTGTGTGTTGAATCCACGTCTGCGGTACATGGATTTGGCAGTTTTTGGACTACTTTTCTGTTCTTTCACTAGTTTTTGCTGTATTTGATTAAAAAAAACTGTTTGAAGACGTAGTTTTGGTCGATTTTTGACAAGCGTTATTGTGGTTTTTGTCCAATTTTTTGAACCGTTTTAGCATCCCCTCTGACAATACACCACTGTGGTTGTCGGAGCCTCGACTCGAACCGAATTGTTTTGTGCTTGAACACTCGACCACAATATTGAACGGATAAATCCTTTCTATTTCCCCATTTCGTATTTAAAATTTCATGGGTTTAGGGTTTGCTACAACTTCTCCAACAACAACTGACACTAACAGCAGTAATTGATATAGATAATAGTTATATTTTAACTACATATCGTACTCCCCCATCTCAATAGCCCACCTCCGAGATTCGCTACGCTAAATTAAATTTATTCTAACCGCCTGTCACGAATGACTGAGCATTTAGCACGTAGCCTCATAATGAAACCTTTGTGCGTGACAAGCGAAAGCGAAGCATATCTCGGAAGTGGGCTTTTCGATCTGCCTCTGACCAGCAACACATCGTAAAAAAAGGACATAAATATACCATCCAACTCTTTTCATTCTGTCTTAGCGAAGTAAAGGTCGCATTTTAGTGATTGGAGCAGGAGTTATTGGACTTACTACAGCCTTGGAGCTTGTCCAACATGGGTGAGTATATTCACTATTGCATACAGCTATTTCAAAAGAGGTTGGAGATCGAAGGTTTCGTTGCGTTACCAATCCCGAAATGCACTATGGGCGATGTGAATTCAATCAGTGAAAGGTTTTGTCAGCACGTTTTTCCAGCATAATTTCTTCTACTTTGCTGTTTTGACATTATTTCCGTATGCAAACAATACAATTCACGTTTACTAAGGAACATGCAACATACAGCATGCAAAAGAGACCTTCACCATCCTTTTTTGAAATAGCAAGGTGTGTATCAGAGACCTAGGGTACGTACCTGTGACCAACTACTACCCCCTCCTTGCTTGTCCTTTGGGTCAGGCCAGAGAAAGGGATGATTCGTTTCTTGATAGAGTTCCCGTATGAACAAAAGCGCGCGCGTAGCGCCTCTGTCCTGAACCCACGGCAGACAATGACTTTTTATTCGCATCATATTTATCCAGATATCAAGTGACAGTTTTGGCAAAAGATTTCGTCGCTCTGGACAACAAGTCAAAACTAACATCGCAAGTAGCAGCAGCATTTTGGTCGATGCCAGTGCATGCTTATAAATGGAAGGATCAACATATGGAGAGAAAAATCCGGGTAAGACGGACACATGTTTAGAGTGGATTTCGTACAAGTATGAGTCAGCACCGTGAAGGCGCGATTTGACATTCAAACCAATCAGAGCGCACAAAATCACTACTTATCCAAAGAGAATGTTAGGGCACGACACCTGCACGGTCAAGGCACGTTAATATACGGAACGTTAATATTCGCGCCATCCTCTCGATCAGCTGGTTTTCTTTTTTTATACGAATCGATGTATGTCTTTTGTTTGGCTTGTAGGAATGGACCATGCATGGCTACAGGGTGTTTAGTAAACTGGCCAGCAACTCCGAAGAGACGGGAGTCTTTATGAGGACAAGGATTAACGCATATTATAATAATGTAAGATTTAGTTACCTTAAACGTTTCGATCCGGGCCCAAGCGCTTGCCCCTCCTTTAACCATTCTGCTTTTTTGGGTCTGCCTGTGGTTGTCGAAAAAAGGGAGCTGTCGGAGTGGCCAAGACAGTCTGGATTATTTGACTCTACCAATTTCTTTTCCCCTCACACCCTAATCCTCCTCTATCCTCGATTCCCTGCTTACCCCCCCCCCCCTCCCCAAGCACAACAGCACAGGAATCGACCTTTCTGAGATAGGAAACATGTTGCGTTGTGGACTAACTTGGGTACAAACATCTTTTGTTCATCATGCCTTATATGGTGTTGTTGTACCCAAGCTAGACCACAATGCATCCTGTTTATCGAACTCAGGAAAGGCCTATGGGCACTATTACATGAATATAACATGAATACTTTCTAGATTAATGACGTACAATCTGACAAGATATACGAAGACGACCACAGTAGTTTACCAGGATTTCGTCATTCGAGGCAAATCTTAAAAGAAAGAGGTACAGCGCGAAACATTTTTTGTTTCGTTTAATGGATTTTCATAAATAGTATTCTCGTTGTACCAATTATCATGCGTGTACTTGTTAATGCAACGAAATATTTTCTGATCCAAACATTCGGTAGGACTGCTAGAAAAGAATTTAATATTGGTGTTCTCTATGTTAAATGGCCTCGATCCAAGTGGTTTTCACCCAATCACAGAGCTTCTGAGTAATAATGGAGCTAGTTTCTTTTTTCATTGTTATTTAAGCTTTATGATTGGATGGCTTGGTATATCCGGTTCGTTTTGATTGGTGGAGGAAAAGCCATCTTAGAGACGCGGGTGCAAAGTGAGTTCCTCATTAAACGAAATCTGTTTTGTTATTATACTTTTCAAGGTATCTCAGAGGAGACCGGGTTGGTTGATGCTACGTCTTTCTTAGCACCATTGACCGACGCTGATGTTTTCATGATGTGGCTGACAAAACAGGTAACTAAGGGACCAGCATTCGTGTGACGGATAACTTCACTCGCTTAGATATTAAGAAATAACGACCTTTTTCTCTGGGTGGCAGAAATCCTCTCGTTCCAGTGCACCAGGAGCGTGCCGAGAAGGACTGCAATGGGGTAAACATTGAAACTCACGGTCATCCATGATGGGAGTACTTTCTACATGTTTCGTACATATTGTCGTAGTGTGTGTTTTCTTTTTTTATCAGTGTATGTCAAATGGTGTCAATTTCGTTCGAGAATCTCTCCATGGACCCTTGAGAACACAGTGTGACTCGCTGATGAAAAAGTACCAAGTAGATAGGATAGTGAACTGTTCTGGAGTCAACGCTAGAGAATTAGCAGAAGATAACGATGTTTACCCCGCAACAGGTTAAAATAAATAAAATATTCGGAGAGTGCGAAAGAGCGACTGTCGTTGACTATATGACTACCTGACTGACCAACCGACCGACTCATCATCATCATCATTTGTTTTCATTTGGCACGTTTCCTGCAATAGCAMGCTTGTGTCTGGGTATGGGAATCCTGTGTCCAGCAGTCGCATAAAGCCCGATATCTTTATTATCATTCTTCTAAAAACTGCGAGTGACTAGAGTGAAGTCACTAAACCCGTGAAATAGATATTAGACTAATACACTTTAGTAGACCCTAAATCCATTGTTTTCTTTTGTGTCTATTTGACTATTACACGTTGACTAATAATTTTTATTTCACGGGTTAAATGCCTTCACTCTAGCTGGCTGACCAACTAACTGCGGACTGCTGTCTACGACTTTGTGTCTAGCGAATGATTAATAGAATTACTGCATCAATAGAATGATTGATTATTTTTCCTGCATATGTTCAGGGTTAGGTCTCATGGTCAATAATACCGATAGTGGTGTCAAGCCTATCGACTTTGCCCTGTCGATTCTTGGTAAACCAACATGGTATGATGACAAGACCAATACGTCTGGATTTATTGGTATCGCACCAAGAGGTAAGCCCAACCATTCGTTGGTTAATAGCTTTAGATTGCAATAAAGTTGGAGTTTAGCTACCAGTCTTTCTCTCAAGATTTGGGGACGTTCTGACTATTACGTAATTTTTTCTTGTTTCTCCCAGGTAACCACGGTTTGTGGATCGGCACAATCAAACAGGAATCATACAAGACGGATTTCCATATTGACGACCCAATCACTAGTAGAATGCTAAGTGAATGTCAAAAGGTGTATCCACCTTTGAAAAACATACCACAAGACAAGATTGAGATTACAGTGGGTAGAAGGCCCATCCGCAAGGGAGGACCACGGGTCGAACAAGATCCTAACTGTCCCGGTCTTGTACACAACTATGGACACTGCTCATTTGGGATTTTTTTATCCTGGGGTTGCGCACGGGAAATTCTTAACATTATGGAAAAATCCACGATCGCAAAAAGCTCTAGCCTTTGAAAGTTTTAACAATGTTTTTAGTATTTTTAAAGATAAGATAATGAATTATCCAAACCAGTGAGTGTGAGAATCTATTGCACATGGTCTGCCTGCGTGCTGCACCCAGACAACGGGTTATCGTGGTTACGGAGCAAATTTGACAGAGCTACGAAACATATACTTGATCAATCAAGTCATGCCTACTTTAGACCATAAAATCCTAAATTGCCTTTTTAAAGTTATCTTTTTTATTACAGGGATACTTGACAGAGGTAAAACAATTTAAACCTAGAAAAGCCTTAACTAAACTAAGAAAAAGAAATCACAACTCAGAATTGAATATGGCAGTTACTCGGGCTACAAGAAAGCATATATCAGGCTTACCCTTATTGTGGAACTGTTTTAGGGGACCTAATTCCAAGATGACGCCTATTTCGTAACCTAAAACACTCCCATAATTCACTGCAATTCCAACTAGACCCAGTTTTTCCTCAACCTGGAAATAACTAATATTAGTAGCTAACTTAGCATAGAATTTTTTGCGAATATTAGTAATACTGACTTACACTATTTTATGCTAATTCTATTGTTTTCTTTTGTTTAACTAGCACTATTTTGAACAATTTAGTAATTAATGATTCACGGATATGTTGTGCTTTGTCGTTTCCTTTTAGTCACCCCCTCCCCCACCAATGAGAGCCAGCTGGTGCAGTATGCCATGCCAATACTTTCTGGTGTCAGAAGGGCGCGAATGTTTATGATAATGTGCGCAATTATTTTGAATTAGCCAAAAAACAAAACAAAAAACAAACAAAAAAACGCGTGATGAGAAATTCACATTTTAAGTGTGATTTTCAATCAGCAAAGTTAATTTAATTTAATCTAAATTTAAGAAGAGCAATCTATACCAACGCAGTGTGAAAATTAGTCCACTTTTTGGTGTGAGAAAGGCGCGAGGCGCGACATGTCTATAATGTTGTAGGCATTCATTTTAAATTAGTCGAAAAATACGTATGATGAAAATTTCATGCAATAGTGCACCCACGCCCTTTGCGGCTACCTTCGTAGGCAGTAGTCTCTGCACTGTCGGCCGACGTTTGTACAATGTCACTTTCAGTTATGGTCACGTGAACAAACAAACTCCCAGAAGTATACGGCTGGCTATTCTTGTCCAGTAAAATAATCTGTCGATATCCTGGCCGAATACTAGTGAAGGGAACTGTAGACTGGCCAATGAAATCGTCTTTTCCAAAGTCGTCGTCGTAAACAACGAACCTGACCAACGCCAGCTCCGGGACGTGAATCTTCTTGGAGAAACCTTCATCCCACCTCGGATCGTAGCTGTTGTCCTTGATGGTCTTTGTCCTAAAGTAGAATTTATCTGCGGGGACGCCGTGGATGTTGACGACAACGTAAGGGTCAAGGTAGTCCTTGATTCTGTCGGGCTCCTTTGAGTTAGGTGGTGACAAGCGGTATCCACCGATGATAGTGACCTTCAATTTACGAGCCATGTGTCCAAGGTTACGGAGGTCAAATGGGTTGAACTTTATATCAGGGTTTCGGAGAAATTCAGGTTTCAAGACGTAGCCGCATTTGCCATTTTGGCGGAACCTTCCATGATGAAGTTGGACGGCTTTGGAGCAATTTTGATGGTTTAAGGCTACGATCTGGCAACCAACGTTCCAAGCTTCTTGTGGATCGTAGTTACCAGAGCCAACGCGGAATCCAGCTGGGTATATCCTGCTAAGTTGTTTCTTATTGTGCTCTACAAAAACATCGGGTTCCCTGTCCAAGAATTTTGACAGCTTGTTTTCAGAAAAGGACGAGGACTGATAGTATTGACCGTGTGTGGTTGAATGATCGAAGCTGACGAAGTGCGTGTTGATGAAGTAGTTAATGAGAAGAGAGAATTCTTTAGCGATTGGCTTTGGTGGCTTTTTCTTCTTTTTTACATCAGTGGTAACTTCTGCTTGATTGTTTTGTACATTCTGATTGGTCGCCGTTTTTGGTCTAGCCTTCTCCTTCTCCTTCTCCTCGTCCTTCTCCTCCTCTTCCTCATCGTCTTCATCGTCATCGTCATCATCATCCATCGCGAACTCTTCATTGCTCTCTTCCGCTTCCTGTTTCAGCTTCTTTGATCGAACAAAGATCTTATATTTAAACGTCTCAGGCGACGGTGAGCCTGTCAGGTTCTTGTCCAYTGGGTCCTTGTACAACAAGTCATCCAGGATTTCAATCAGATGGCGAGCCATCTTTTTCTGATACTCAACACTGCAGTGGTTCTCCATGTTAAGCACGACAGGATAGGGAGACACTTCAAAGGCGTGCTTCTTGACAGCCTCGATGACGTCCTTGAAGAGGATCTTGGATGTCAGAGTATGGCCGTGGTATACAACTGGCTCTCCATTGTCGCCATCCCAGCAGTCCAGCTCGACGCACCTACACCCCCCCTTTAGGACCTTCACATACTCATCAACACTTGAATCACCCTGCAGCTGATCACCGGAAAGGTAAGTGTTGTGCGACGAAGCTATAAAATAATGAGCTATAGGTTGAGTCATGTCTTGGTAAACTTTCTCGTGGTCTGGATTGAAGAGCTCTCCATCTTTAGATGACATGTACTTGATAAATCCATCAATACCCATTTCGCCACTTTCTCGACCTTCTTGTGTGACTTCATAAGATGTGATTAGCTGCCGACAATTGTCACGAGATACTGAACATTCCCCCTGTCGCTTCGTCAGAAAATACTCTAAGTCTTCCACTGTAAGGAAAGACCCATCGGAAGACGTTTGAAGAAATAGGTTGAAGAATTCTTTCCTCATCATAAACTGTCCAAGAAATTGGACAAAATCTTCTTGCGTGATTTGATCGCCAGTTTTCTTTTTCTCCATCATGAACTTCTTCAGTGATTTCTTCACAAAAAGTGGATCAACATTCATTCCTTGCGAAGTAAGGAAATTCAACAAATCAGCGTACTTTACGAAATCGTTTCCTTCCTTCGTAAGTCTGGAAAACGCTTTTGAAAGCCATAAAACTCTTCGTTCTTCGCCTCTGTTCTTTGTGGTTGCGTTTTCTATCAAACGCTGGAGTCCATTTACCCATAAATTTGCTTCGTCGATATTTGGAGCAGCGAAGAAAATTTCTTCCGAAGTCGACGTAATCACACAAAAGCAAGCCTCCACGGAGAAATAATTCTTGACAAGTTGGAACTTTTCAGGGTCGCTTTCACAGGTAATCACTTTGGTTATATCAGGAATATTGACTCTTTTTTCCTTTCTTTTGAGGGTAAAGACAACTTGTTTCTGATCTTTAGTTAAGTTTGTCTTCTTTTCTTGAGGTTTTCTGGGTGCTTTTACTTTGGTTTTCATTCCAATCCAAATCTTCTGCATATTACAACCTTTTCGCATCATTCGCCAACATTCTTGTGGCATTGGCTTGATGTCCTTAGCGGACATTGTTGCTTTTGACGCCATAAAGTAGCTCTAGCCTTCAAGTAAGCCTAATAACAGTGAGAAAGAGAACAGAACAGACCTACTATCGTTGACCCCTCTGCTCGTTAGGTACGTGTATGTCAAATAGCTGAATTCCGAATAACATAAATAATTGTCTACGGTTGGTCACTCGAGTTGAAACAAAATAATAGCGGTGTCAACCAATCGGCAACTCAAGAGTCAATTAAACATCATTTTCTTTCGCCCCACGAGACCTTCATTTGCCTTTGTATTCTAACCAGGATTTTTATAGCCACCTTTGTAAACAAACTGGCTTCAAATGAACTAACAGGTCCATACAAGGAAATAGTCAAGTATTTAATACTCTCTCTCGCCAAACAATGGTATGGGTACCCGTTTTATAGTGGTCAGCGCGGCTTAGTGGGATAAATATTGGCTACTATATTATTGCGATAAAAAAAGTTGATTGCATTTTAAATAAATTAATTTGAAAACCAATAAAATAAAATCAGATGTTGAAAAAAAAAAAAAAAAAAAAAAAAATTGAAAGAATTTCTGAATTTCATTTCATAGCTTCTAAATTCGTTAAATTTAACAAAAGATTTTTTTTCTCTTTTTTAGTTAGGTCGAACAACGCGACGGCCTAGTGATTTTTTAAAAACACTCTCTAGACGATGACAGCAAATCACAATAATCCAAACGTTAGAAATTTGCATTTTTGATCAAAACAGGTCGAGTGGAAATAAATAATTTATCAAAACAAAGCTGTTTAAGCTCAAAACAAATTTTCTTATCARCAATGAATATTTTTTACATTCATCCAGTAGGCTTTGGGCATTGATAATATGATTCTATTTTTWAAAAAATTTAAAAAAAGATATGCTTTAAATAGGCGTGTTTTTCGTGAGTGTGGGTGATGGTCAATGCAAGGACTTCGGTACCGTAAAAAAACTTGGATGAAAATTCATATATAAACGATTGCGCCTGATTTCATTCGATCATATCGGCGGTCTGCTTACGCGACTTATGGGCTCGATATATTAGTAAGCATAAACGGTTAAGAGAAGGAAGGAAGGAAGGAAGGAAGGAAGGAAGGAA